GGAATAATGAGGGCAACAAATGTATAGATGTGTTTTATACAATTGATCTATGTATTGTGATGAATTGTATGAGCCCCAATAAATTGATTTAAAAAATAAAAAAAAAGAAGAAAACTTCTGTTACAGTAAGGAGAACCAAGGCTGAGATTTATTTACTTTCAGTCATTTCAGTAAACATTTCAAGTAACTTTTCTCCATAGGTTTTGAATGACATTTCGAGTGAGATGTTATGACACAGAAATAAATGCAAAATAATAAATTGTTTCAAATAGAAAATAAAATATGAAAGGTAGTTCAGTCATCCTAATAGTTGTAAGTAAGCTTCAAAGAGAATATGGGGGGTGGGGAAAAAAGCCTGTGGAAAAAGTCCACTATTTTCCCACTACTTTCTGAAGCGCCCTTGTGTCTATGAAGTTTTTCCTATGACCTAAGACCTAAGCCCTTGAAAGACCCTCAGAGCCCCACTATCGCTTAGAGTAATTTTTTACCACTTTTGTGCCTCAGTTTGTTCTGTAAAATAAGGATACTAATAGAACTTATCGCTAAGGATCATTATAAAAATGAAGCATAAATTTAACATATGTAAAACAATTCATTAGCATAAGTACTGGCTTTCAACACTATTGTTGATCTTTCTGCTATAGAAATTAGGATCTGGTCAATATTTGAGGTTAACTGATATGCAAATAGGGTTATAAATGATATCTTGTTAACCTGCATAATGCCAATGGCTAGCCAAAGAGCAGCAGACACGGCGTATCTCAATATGCGGCTGCAAGGGGCTATGTAGCTAGTTGGGCTTCTGGTAAGGCTGGAGGATGAGTCCATTAATGCCAAATTCTTGAATCCTACAACCTGGAGGAAAAAGGAAAAAGAATGACTTAAGTAGACAGAGATAAAAACGCCTCTAGACTCAAAAAGAAGCATTCTTCCCTATTCGCCATCCAGAAATCGATGAAACAATTTATGCACAGAGAAGAGCACCACAAAATTCACTCGTATCCAGTATTTTAATTCTGAAGTATTTAATATCAAGCATTTAGTATTAAATCTATGCAGTTAGTCCAGGTGGTATTTTCTTCAATGTAACCAAGAGCTAAATGTTACTTTACTGTCATACATATGAACATAAACATATGTTGATGACTCAAAAATTTCTATCACAAGAATAACCTTTTCTTCAGTAAACTACCAGTAAAACCAACAACCAGTATTTTCATAAGTATTTAACATGTATCAGATATTATGCTAAATATTTTCATACTTTCAAAGCAACATTTTCTAAATGTTCTTCTAAGAGAGATCTCTTCTTTGATAAAAGGAAGTACAGTTAAATTTGGCCTGGAAATTATTCTTGGCAGTAGCTCTCACACTTTGTAAAGGCTCCGAGAAGTCTTAGAAAAAAAGGATTCTACCTGACTTCATTTAACCAAAGGCTTTCCAAATCTACGTAACAATTTCTTTTCTCATGTAACAACTTTGAAAGTTCCACAAAACACTTCAAGGAAAACTGCTTTTAATTAACATTAATTTTATATAATATTTTAAATATTTTAACTATTTAAAAGCCCCAAGGACACATTCTTCTCGTAGAGTAAAAAAGAAAGAGAACAGAGGGAAAGAGTGAAACGAATAGCTGGAAGAAGGAAGAAGGACCATAACATTTAAGAGTCAATCATTTATATTTAATAATATTTATGCAGCTGAGTCTTAACAAAATCTGTCACCCCTATAAGCAATTTTCATGTCATAGTCTACACTCAGTACTAAATACTTCAGTACGGCCCTTTAATAATTCTAACCAGATCAATAAGATTGTTATCAAGTATCATAAACATGTGCTCATTTAACTTCTCAGAGCAGAATGAAGCCTACAGTACCATGGGGTTGTAATTAGCTGACATTGAACGAGTAACACCCAGGTGACCCCATGTATGTATAATAGAACAAAACACTGCCCAGTCCCCTACCATGATCGCAACTGCTGCTCGTCTGAGCCCGGCATTTCAGAGACTGTGCCATCTCTGATCTCGTAAAGAGTCTTCTATTTTACTAACGTGCTAGGAAGCGTGATGTCCTTCTCCAAGGACGAGTCCCTCCTGATTACACATCCAAAGAACACGAGATGCAGTACCACCATCGTAGCTTCTAAGGAGCAATGACTATTCTTTGCCAGCACCATGATTCCAATCCATCAATTCTCCTTCAGTTTTTATTTTTATTCACTGCCTACCCTTCATAAGCATATGAGATGAATGAAAAATACCGGGGCCTGGGGCAGGTACACATTCATTATCTTTGCTTTTTAACATTTTAAAACTTTTTTGCCCAATTCAGTAACTGTTTGATTTCTTGACTGCTCTCATGGGTGGTTATTGTGAATCCAAGCAAAACGAAACTCTTAACAATCTCTCCTCTGTTTTTAACCATGTTGCTCATGGTTCCGGTCATGGCATTTCTTCTGTTTGCACCGAGGTGCAATCCGTATGAGGCTGCAGTGCTTCGAATCCTCTTCAGAATCCAGCATGATGTCATCATCTGCGCATTTTAAGTGACTGATGAGTCGTCTTCTGCTCCTGGTGCATGTTCTTCATGCAGTCTGGTTTCTTGGATTATTAGCTCAGACTAAAGGATGGTGGAAGGATGCACACCTTTCCTAAATGTAAGCCACGCAGTAATCCCTTGTTCTGTTGAAAAGCCTTGGTCTATGTTGTATTCTGGAATTTTCATTCTTGGCACTATTATCAATTTGTTATAATCCACACAAAAGCATTTGCATAGTCAATGAGACATCCATAAACATCATCTGGTCTTTTCTGCTTCCAGCTAAGATCCATCCAACAACAGTGATAGACCTCATTCCAAGACACTTCGGAATCTAGGTGGAATGCCTAGCAGTTTCCTGTTAATGTACTACTGCAAATGTTTTAAAATAATTTTCAGCAAAATATTACTTGCTTATGATATTAAACATATTGTTTAATAATTTCTGCATTCTGTTGAATCATTATTCTTTGATAATCTCTAGGACTGATTCCAAGCAAAGGGATTTTCCAAAAGAAAGCTCCCCAGGATATTCTGATACAAAATGTTTAAAAAGTTTTAATGTCAGTAAAAGCAGTATTTTAACCTTTAGAGAGCTCATGTCATAAAAACGGAGCTTAAATGCTATCAGTATTTATGAGTTACCCATGCCTTACATATAATTATACTAGTTTATACCTCCAAGAAAAAGACGACAGTAAGTACTTGAAGGAGTGGATTAATTTTTCTCACAGTCTGAATTTCATTCCATTCATTTGCTACAAAATATGTTCTCCATATGCTTACGGGAACAGCAGCACTCCGCACACCACCCTCACCTGGTTGGAGAGAGAAAAATGAGTAAAATATTTCACCTTATGTGCTTTGCAAACGTAGTAAAGGAATTTTGCCACAAGTGGTTATTTCCGTTACCTTCAACAGCTTTCAAAACCTTTCCTTTAGGTCGCTCCCAGTCAATAAAGAATATGTCTATGGTAATCTGGGATATGAGTTTGTGTAAAAATTGCAGAGCCTGAGAATGACAAATGATAAAACAAAACACTGAAAACTATCAGCATTGTCAGCCTATGAAAATATTCATTCTGAAAAAAAAGCCTGTAATCAATATGTCATTTTTCTTCCCCAAACCACAGAATTTTTAATATATCTATTAATTCTCCACCCCTTTTATCACCTTTTCTTCACAGGGATATAAAAGTAGGAAATAGACTACTTCCTCCTTACAGGCCCAGAATGACTCACTTCTTTCTCAAAGTTCCCAAAGGGCTATTTTGTTTTCTACCCAATCTGGCATTCTAAGCGAAGACATACATGGCCATTTCCTTAGCCTAAGAATGGTTTCAGCCTGCTCTCACCAGCTTTCATCTATTATAATAAAATTATTGACTTTGTGTGTTTGTGCGTGTGTGTATTGTTGAAATATATCTTTTTCAATTACAGAAGTAATAGTATGGATTGAATTGTGTTCTTCCAAGAATATGTGTTGTAAATTCTAACCTCTAAATCTAATGATAATTCCATTTAGAATGGAAAGTCTCTGTTACGTGAATGAGGCAGAATGAACGTGGTACATTTTGAGTCAATCGCTTTGGAGATAGGAAAGATTAAACAAGCAAGCAGAAGAGAGCTGCGCTGAGATCCCAAGGCCATGGAGGTCTGCAGGGAAGCAGGAAGGAGTGAGCAGCTGAAGAGACATGGCTCTTTTCCCAGTGCTGACACAGAACTAGCACTCTACAGACAGACTTCAAATTTCTCTTGGTTAAAGTCAGCCATTTGTGGAATTTCTGTTATAGTAGCACGAGAAAACTGGTACAGAATTTGGTATCGAAGAGTGAGACGCTACTCTGACAGACACCCAAAATGTGAAAGTGGTTTGGGAATAGGGGATGGGGAGCGGCTGGGGGTTTTACGGTGCCACACAGGAAAGGGCCAAGCTTGCCTTGAAAGTGCTGCTGGGAGGATAGCGATGACAAAGGCAATTCTGGTCAGGGCTCTGAAGGCAGGGAAGACAGAGAGAGAAAGTCTCTCGTCTTCGGCAGCAGTGATGGTACCAGTAACAAAAGGGTACTAGAAATGTGGATGTCAAATGGGCGTCTAGAGAGACTTTAAAAGAAATGATGACCATAGGGCTGCACAATGGAGGGCAGGTAATGCTTTTTATGCAGTGGCAAAAAAATTTGTCTGAATGCTGTTCAAATGCATGGTGGCAGGTACACTTGTAGGTGATGAACTTGGTTATCTGGTTGATGAGATGTCTAAGGAAAATCTTGGAAGGGCTGTGTGGTTTATCCTTGCTGCTTACAGTAAACTAGGAAAGGAATGAAATGGACTTAAAAACCAAGTGCACAAACTGAAAACAAAATCTGAAAATGTATAAAGGGGACATGTCCTATAATGTTCACTAAGGATTTGTCTACATAATTTTGTTAAAAGATTATGACCGTGACTAATGGATCAAACTACCTACCACACAGAAAACCATCAGCTAAGACGGAACAGGGCAGAGAAAGAATGAAATGAGAGCACTGTCTTGGAGTTCTACAAGTAGGAAACAGGCCAAGGAGCGACATCTGCTGTCCTCCAAGGTGGGGTGGAAAAAGGACAATCCCCGAAGCAGATCAGAGAGAAGCAGAACGGATGGAAGGAACTGGGAAGCAGGGCCTTCTCAGTTTCATAGGGTCTCCTACATCTTAACAGGTGGAGCCCCACCCTCCCCATTTCAAAGAATTGGCTCATCGCCAACCTGGTTATGGAGTTTGGGGCTGCCATTAAGGTATTCCAAGGAAATGTAGCTGCTGCCTAACATTGAGCAGAGCAGGGCTGCCATGTCCAAGGGGCAGCAGGGCAAGGTTTGCTGGAGCCATGGAGATGAGGTCACTACTCAGGTGGACAAAGAGAATGGGGCCACCTAAATCAAGGGAGCAGAGAACTGTCTTTCGGTGCCTCTGTGTGGTGAAGCTGAAGCCCAGGGCTGATATGTCTCTACCCACAATCCGGACAGCATGGCCAACACTGGAGTCTGGGGCACGCGACCAATGCCCAGACAGTCTCAGAGAACAGAGGGTTCTTCTTAAGCCTTGAGAGCTAAGGCAATGTGTTTTGCTGGGTTTCGGTCTTTCTTCTTGGTAGCCGCCATCTCTTCTTTCCCTCCAATTTCTCCCATTTGCAAAAGCCTTGTGCCCATTCTACTTCAGTATTTTGGAAAGAAAACTTGTCATCTAGGTTTGAGATGAGATGAAGAGAAATTTCGTCCCAAGATGGAAAATATGCCTAAGGTCTCAACCATATTTGATTCAGAGGATTCAAAAGAAGAGATCTTGGACTTGATCTCCTAGCTCTGGGATTCCGTGATGGGGTGAGGGTGACATGTACAAAAGACATACTGTTAGGGGCAGACCAGAGTTCGAATGCAATGGATTAAATTATGTGTCATCAAAATATGTATTTTAAGTCCAAACCTCTCTCTATGCCTGTGTTTATAATCCCTATTGGGAATGGGCTGTCTTTTTTATATTAATAAGAGACTATTAGTGTAGAGGGTATCTTGAGTCAATCTCTTATGAGATCAAAGAAGATTAAACACAAGTTAACAAGCAGGCATGGGAAAGAGAAATGGAAAACGATGAAGATCACCCAGGAGCAGAAGCTCCTAAGAGACAAGGATCTTTGCCCAGAGCCAACAGAGAGACAAAGCCTTTCTCTAGAGCAGTGGTTCCCAGCCTTCCTAATACCGAGACCCTTAAACACAGTTCATGTTGTGGTGACCCCCCAAACATAAAATTGTTTTCATTGCTACTTCATCACTATAATTTTGCTGCTGTTATGAATAGGGCTACCCCTGTGAAAGGGTTGTCCGATCCCCAAAGGGGTCGTAACCCACAGACTGAAAACCACTGCTCTAGACCCTTAAAAATTATTTCAAGCAGATTTTCAGAATGAAATCACTGTCAAAAAAGGTAGGCCTTGTGCGATCATAAGGTGTCGCCAGGACTGGGTAACAAGCATCAGAAGACCCCAAACAAACAAACAAAACCCATATTGTTGAGAATGAGGTGGGTCAGAGCAGAGACTCAAAGTCCATCTGTAGACAATGGGACGTCCCCTCACAGAGGGGTCACAGGGAAGGGATGAGTCAATCAGGGTGCAGTAAAGCACCGATGAAATACACAATACTGCTCTGATTTCTTGAGGCTTCCTCACCCCCCACTACCATGACCCTAGCTAGTACTTATGCCTTTCACTACGGGCTAGACCCCAAAGCATGTGCACAGACACAGATAAGACATAAGAGCTCACAGGAATCCAGGCACAGGAATGGGAGTAGCGATACCATCAGGGCAGGGGGAAGGTGGGGAGAGGAGTGGAGGAAAGGGGAACCGACCTCGATGATGAGCACATAACCGCGCCCCCTTCCACAGGGGGATGAACAACAGAAACTATGGGGGAAGGGAGACAGTGGTCCGTGTAAGATATGAAAATAATAATAATTTATAATTTATCAAGGGGCCATGAGGGT